CACAGACCAGTGGGTTTACCACGAAGCTTGGACTGTCCTCAGAGCAGGCCTGGAGGATACTGTGCTTAGAAAGGGAAAAGGAGCACAGTCGTCCTGAGTACCAGACTGGTTTTTTGCTTTGGCCCTTCTGGAAGCGTATCATGCACTCCTTAGTGGTGTGATACAGCCACTCTGTCCATACCCTTTGAACCCTAATTGTAGGTTAAGACCCTGTGATGTCTGGGACCCTGCAAACGCAGATTAACTGGAATGTCCTTCCTCCCTCAGCATGGTCTGTTTTGAATAGTTAGGTGGTGTACTGAAGGACCTTCAGAAGCCTTTACCTCACTTTGATTTGTTCCGAGAGAGTATACCAATGCCGCAGCCAGCTTTCTTTTACAGGTTTTGTTGTCAGTTATATGAGACCTGGTAACATTATAGTACCAATGGATTTTTCAGTGAAATTCCTGAAATGCTAGAAAACAGTGTCTGAAAAGGTCCTTCTTAACGTGTAACACACACAGCTTCTTGCTTCTTGAAAGGCAATAAGGCAATGACAACTTTAACAGTGTGGCAGTGTACAACATGTTTTTCTACATTTCTGTTCATTTACCCAGGCAGTTTAAAATCTTTATTGAAATTTTTGTCTATATGGCCTTGATTTGAAGATTATTTTGTTCGCTTTCTGCCATGCAGAGAAAATACTTAGAGAAAACGCTTGTGAAGCATTCTTTAACTGTGATTTGCAAGGTACTGTTCAGTAAATACAGTGTACTAGCTGAAATGTGTAGAAAAATCACGTTGTAACCACTGAATCATAATGTTCAGATTTGATCTTGATTTAAATCAAGCCCTTGGCTCTTAGAAACAAAGCTTGAAAATCAAAACCCAAGAAAGCTTTTGTCTGCTGAAGTCATCTTTTCCCATTGTCGTCTTCTCTTCTGTAGCTGACCCAGGCACTCTGTTTGGCTCTGGCTAGTTTCCGTGGCTATTTGTTGCTTGAATGTAGTTAAGTGAGAATAGAGCCTAGCAGTTTAGATAAAGGAATCGGGAAATAAAAATATTTATAGAGTATGTAGTTCCCTTGGTGCAGGTTTTCATGGCAATGTGTCTTACGAATGAGAAAGCAAAAGGGAATAATGAAGACAAAGAAAGGGGAATGATTACATCGAGGGTGGAAGTGGGGAAAGCACTTCAGAATGTAGTCCAGCATTTTGTTCATGCCACACTGTTTGCTTTGGGAAGGTATACAGCAAACTGCGGCTCTTCTGAAATCATGAAAGAAAAGAGTGCAGTAATTAAGCAATGCTCAACTAAATGTCCGTGTGGCCAGAATTTGCCAGTGAGAAGAGCAGCAAAGGTAGGGGAGGCAGAACCTTTGTTACAGGTAGTTCATGAGTGAAAAGTAGAGGCTGGGTGTATCAAGGGAGTGCACCTTCTGATTGAGTTTTGTGAGGATAACTCATTTTCTTGTGGACAGCTCACTCGTTTGTTGCGGTGAGCAAGTAAGACGAGGCTGTAGAACCGTGAGCAAGAATCGCTTCATCTTAAAACCAGGCTGTTCTGTTGAATCTAACGCTTGTCTTGCGAACTGCCTTGACTTCCGTCTTTCAAGTTTAAAAATCTTTTTACAAACTTATTTTAAACGGAGCTCGTAGATGCAAAGATAAGCACTACCCCCAAAATGGCCTCATAGATATAAGTGGTTAAACAATTCAGGTTTGCAAGAAGAACATAAGCTGCTTCCAGTGGGCAGCTGTTTAAAAATACCTTGAGATGCATGGGGGATTTAAGCCCCAGAATAGTGATTGTTTTCAAACACATGTATGCAGGCTGATTGAAGACTAGGCCTAATTAGGAAACTTTTTTACCTATCCAGAAAATAGACAGACCAGGTTTCTTACCGCTTTACCCATGGGTTCTTCACTGGTGTGCCCACTGAGCCTGTTTGCATTGCTGATGCCTCTGCATTCCAGAAAGCCTCAAAAGCCCCTGAGGTCTTGCTGAGGCAGCCTGCATTCCCGTGGAGCACACTGTGAACAGTCAGCAGGCTGGGTGGATGAGAAAATTCATCTGAATGGAAGGGCAAATTAAAATCGTTAAGTGCTGGGCTCTTGAACATTAAGTCGTAGATTATTTTAAAATGTAAAAGGCATGTGAGCTTCCTTAGCCTCTGCAGTGGAAGCAAAGAAATCGGTTTAAAAACTGTCATCTAATAGCTTCTCCTTAGGAAGCATTCAATACTTTCATTTAGCCATAAACCACTAAGCCGTTGTGCTTCAGCAGAGCCCTTCAGAGGCCCTAGTCCCTGCCAGCTGCTACAGCACAATCTCCTGAACTGAATCTCTGCAGAAGAGATTATAAGGAGAAGCATTAGTGGATTTGAAAGTTACATTGACAGTACAGATGCAGGCACCACGCTCAGGCTTCTTCTGTCCCCCGGCGGCTCCTGCTGTCATCCTCTGTAAGAACCACAGTTTGTGCTCCAGCACACTCCTCCTGGGAACACTTTGCTACTTGTGGGCCCTCTCTGTGGAAGCCTGATGGTCCTGGTGACTGGCTTGGACGCAGTTGTCAGCTGGGTGTCCGTAAGTCTCTCCCGTCCCTATTACAGGACTCGGGATACAGGCTTTTGATGTGTCATACGTTCATGTCATACAGAGAGAGCAGACCTGCAGCCTGCTGGGCAGAGACCTTTGCCCAAGTGCTTGTCAGATAAATGGCAACACGGATGGACTTTGCAGCCTGGTACCTTCTTGTAACTCCATTTGTACTAACTACTGTTGTGCCTCGTAGCGAGTCATCTTCAGCGCTAGGAAGAAGTCAGTCTTATTTGGTAGGTTCTGGCTTCTGCCCTCTCTGTCCTTCACTTGCAAAAGACCTTATGTTGCCTTCCTCCACGCTCTTTACAACCATAGCCATCCTGGCCCTCTGCACAGTCAGCTGCTGCTTTTTGTGGCTGCCAACATCTGGCTTCACCTTTCATTGGCTGTAAAGTGAAGGCCATCTCTTGTTTGTCAAGTTGTTTGTTACCTGCCAGAAATCTGTCTGTAATTTTATGAACATTTTAAGGTTCTCAGGCTGTGGAAAGAAGTGGCTAAGACTCTCCCATGCTTCCTGCTGCCTATGTCCATACCTCCTCCTTTGTGCTGACACATGGCTCCTGGCAGCTGCTTGAGCAATGGGGTGTTTTAATTTTTTTCCGTCATGATTTTTAATCTGAATCAGGCCTTAATCCTGTGCATCCTAGAAACTGCACTATTATTTTTCTATCATGCAGAGGAAGGAAAATAAGCAGCGGGAAGCAGGGAAGGATGCTTTTTCTGCAGCCGTGCCAGGTTGAAAAGTTTGAACTAAGTCGTGAATGGAGTGGGTGTACACATATTCCATGAATACATCTGAAAAAACAATGGTACATACTTCTCCTTAAATTCTTTTCTGAGCCACCACTTCCCATATACAGATATCCTTCCTGCTTCATAACAGAAGCATTCAGAAAGGAGCCTCAGACCTTTTGTAAACCTTTCCCCACCATCGTTAGAGCAGATTGTGTGCAGCACATTTTTGTTTAGCACAGAAAGGTGGTTCCCCAGAGGCTTTAAGGCCTCTGGGCTGGTCCAGACAACTTTCATCTAGCAGAGTAGCATGGGCTAAGATCACCAGATACATGCATTTGTATTTATTTAATGAAGAGGAGGGCTTCTGCAGATAGCTTTGTAGAAATCCGTAGGCTTTGCTGTGGTTAAGCTACCAGAGGCAACATTTAGAATCAGTGTTCTGTATTTAGCAAGATGACATCTGACTTCCAACATGCCTGAAGGAACAGGCCACTGAACCTCCTGTTGAAAGTTAGTGTGAGCTGGGAGCCTGGCTCCCTGATCTTCCTTTGGGAATTCCAGCATGTGTATGTAATTAGTCACATTTAAATGTCTGCATTTATTCAGTGTCCCCAGCTGCTCCTTCAAGTGTTGTCTCGTGTCTTGTCTCTCAGGTTTAAAAATGCTTGGAAACATCTGCTTTGGAGAGTTCCCCCCTCCCACCACTCTTTTTATTCTCTTCCCCCCGTAAATCTGTATAGCTAAATAATAATGTATGTGGTTTAGTAGCCACTGCTGTCTTTCATATGTAGTAGCACAGTCTTCGAAAAAGTGAATCATAAGTCTGCAAATACCTTAGCAATGCTGAAATTTTATTTGATAAATGAAGCATTTCGTAGCTCTGGTGTGGAAGACGGGGCTGCTCTGCATTAATTTACAAATTAAATGCCATGCAACTCTTGAGAGCTCTACAAGGTGTATTCTGACCATGTGGAACAAAGTTAAATGGGCTGTTTGTAAGAACAAGCAGGAAAGGAAACAATAAGTAGTTATGACATCCTTAAGATAAACACTTCAGGGGTCATTAAGAGAACAGTGACTGAGCTGTGGGCATTTAAGAGCTTTAAAAGCCCTTCAGGAGAGGGAGGTATTTGTCAAGTGTGGTTAAAGCAGAAGGTCTGCCTAGGGGTGGGAGTGCTGGGACTCCGTGATGGTTTCCCAGCCTTGTCTGCCATGTGAACAGAGCACAGAGCATGCAGTGGGCAGCATCTGACCTTCCTCTCTGATTGCTCACATTATAGATTTGAATTTCCTTGCCCATGAGCTTTCCAGCAAAGTGGCGTGGGCAGCACATTGCTTGCAGGTTGGTAACCGTTGCCCTAAATCAGTCTGATTTTACGTAACTGTTCAGAATTTTCTTATGCAATGTGGTGTTTCTAAGTTCAATGTAAATGATGCTCCATTTTGAAAATTTTAGAGGGTCAGCCTCTGTGTTTTGCTGGTCACAGCTCATGAAGGGCAAAGCCACATATATCAAGTCTAGTCATAAGGGCTGAGACAATGGTCATTCCTGCTTGTGGATCAGCAGTTTGCATCCTAATCTAAGAGGAAAGCACGATCCCATCTTGTCTGGTGAAGGTTTGCTGTTGTCACCTCTGATTGCATTTGGAGACACCTTGAAAAATTACAGGAGTGCAGCTTGTCTTTCAATCATGGAATATATTTAAATGCTTTTGTGTACAATTAAAACATACAGACATCAACTCTGAGTCATCTGAGAATTTACCTTTACTAACTAGCTTGTTTCCTGCTTTTCTCATTTATCTTGGAGTCAGTCTACTTTCCTGTAGATAACTGTCTTCATCAGATCCCAGGAATAGGTGAAGAAACTGTCTAAAGCGTTGGATTAAAGAGAGGACTTGGAAATATGTCGCTATATTGTATCTATAATGCTGAAGACCATATTTTGTTGGCTTTCTGTCATGGCTCTGTCTCTGACGCTGCTAAGCGTGGAAAGCGGGAGTGCAGGAAGAGTAGCCAGCAAAGTTTTAGATAATGTTTTTCTGTGCTGTTTTGTGATGTGGGTTTTTTTGTGAATTCCATTTTAATGTAGAAAACACTGGGACCGATTAGTTTGATACAATTTCTCTAATCTCTCCTAGTAATCCAGTTTTCTTTAATAGGTGTTGATGTTGGGTGGACCCTGGTTACTTGTTGATGGTGTAGAGCAGGGTTTGCTCCTCTTGAGTGTGGTGTGCCGTACTGTATTTTCCTTTTCCAAAGTAGAGGTGGCGTTCTGCCAAAAAGTCAACAGGAACCAGGAGATGCTCCCTCCTGGAGGCAATGTGCTGATGACCCTCTTGTTACTGTGCGAGGCAGCAGCGCTGGGTCTCGGGCTCCTTATGGAATATTGGCCTGGTGCAAGGCTGCAGCTCCTGTTGAGCCTGGAAGTAGCCTGAGGCCAGAGCTGGCAGTGGGTGCTCTTCCTGTGATGTTACAGCTCCTGGCTCGCTTTGGCTACATCCAAAATGGGTCCCTGAGCCACCCTGACTCTTGGGTTTGGTGCTTCCCGGTTTAGGCAACATACATTTGTGTTGCTTTAGAGAAGTTTCTACTGTGTTGCAGAGGAATATGGCATATAGCCAGCTTTGAGTTTGCTTCAGGCTCAAACGATGCTTATTTTCCTGCCTGAAAAATGGTCTCAATCAGCTAGGAAAGAGAAAAAAGATATTGCTGACTACAAGCAGGCCAGTTTAATGTATGCATCAATCAGGTCAGCTCACAGTATTTTGAAAAATTTCAACTTCTGTTTGATGCTCGTAGGGAATGCTAATGAGAGCATATAGTGTTTTCAAGGCTTCGTTTTCAGTAAACTCATGCATCCATTTAAAATGTGTCACAATCTCCTTTCCCTAGAGAGCATACCCTGCATCAGGCTGCTCCTTTTCCTGCGGGTTTGCAACTTGGTCATGCTTTTAATCTTGTATGTGTTTCATACAAGTGGGAGAAAATTGCTCAGAAATTAAATCACATAGTATCCGGTATTTTTATCTTGTAGTGCTGCAAAACTGCGGGTTTTGGGGAGTAGGGAGGGGAAGAGAGAAGGAATGGATACGTATCTCTGTCCAAGGCTTTAGCGTATACATCAGGTTTTTTCCTTCCATCTCTGGTAGCATTGTGGCTACGCTACCTACCATCTAAGTAGTTTTTTCCCCTTTGCTTCTCCACCCCCACCAAAACTTCTCTTGGCCGTTTCGTAGCCTAAATCAAGTGTATGGTGCTCACTCTCCATCAGACCTCCCCGTATCTATAAATACTATCTCCTCCTGCTGTTAGGTTTCCCACTAAATGAAGCTTCAGTTTCACCCTTCTTTGGTTTTTGTCTTCAGTGTTTCCTCAGTGCTTCTCCTCTGTTCATTAAATTCTTGGTTATTCAAATCACAAACAAGTATCTTACCTGTAGTCCTAATCAAGAGCAAATTCTTTGATTAGACCCTTTGGCAGTAGTCCACCTCCAGCAGAACACGTTTTACGGCGCTCGCCATTTTGAGATGGAATCGTCGTCATATGACTCTCTGGAATACGTATAGAACTGAGTTTGTAATTCAGGACTGGAATGTAACTCTTCTAAGTCAGTCTGTTTCGACAGTTAGTGCCACTGTTTAAATAACGTGAGGGTTCTTCCTGTTTTACAGAGTAAACATAGTCTGGGGTTATAAATGAAGTCAAATTATTCAAGCATAAATCCTTTTGATAAATGACCTCTAAATGTGCTCGAGGTCACAGTGTTAGGGTGGTTTGGGGGCATTAGAGACCATTCCTGTAGTATCTCCATTTTTGTAAGAGATACATGGATTTTGAGACTTGTGAATTGTTAGCACCCTGGATATGCTGACAGTGCCACAAACATCTGAAGTTTGAGGTAGGGCCCCGGGGAAAAAGTAGTTAGCTGTCTTGCAACATGACCTGTATCAAAAGGCTCTTTGAAGTACATGGTATTTAGCATAACACAAAGCTAAATTTATATGCTGTTTCATTCTAAATGACTGTTGGAATTCCTGCTGGTTCTGTGGCAGGTACCATCCAAAGCCAGTGCTGGTGAAGCTTCTAAAGAAGCAATGTGATGGGACACAATTTACAAATCACACTTTTCTCTGACAGTTTTTTTTATCTATTGCTTGAAGAGCAAGGTGATATTTAGGTAGCAGAACAGGGAAGTGGGGACAGCAAGGTGTGATAGGAATGGGGGAAGCTGGTGGGTAAAGGGGAAGTCTCAGGGCCCCAGTTGGGGTTTTCTGCAAGTATAGGGAGAGTGTAGACATGGTACACAATACATAGGATATGCCCTTCGTTAACCCTATTGTTCACGGAACTATGTGTTGAGAGGAAGTTATTGCAAGAAGTCTGACAGCGTATGTGGCAATAATGAGAAAGTATCTCTCTCCCTACTCCATCCAGATGAGCTAGAAACCATGTTCACATCGCCGGGTATGTTATTGTACTGGGAGCGCAACCAGTTATGTGCTATGACCAAGTTCTTTAGTTCTTTCCAGAGTCCACAGTGCTAAAATCACCTGGTGCCTACTGCAATTCCCCCCCTATTTCTCAGTGTAAACCTTTGCCTGGTATACCGTTTTCTGGTATTTTCAGTAAGAGTCGATTGTGAAATATTTCATCTGTGTTGCTAATTATGTATTTGTAACGGAGAAAGCACTTGAGTGAGAAAGATTAAAAGTATTTTAACATACATTTTTAACTTAATAACACTTTGAGATCAGTCATTTTCACTGTCCCATTCTTTTCCTTCCCACTGTACAAGGTATTTTGCTAGTTCCTCCTTTAATCATTTTCCTCCCTAAAATAAAAAGAGAAAAAGGTAATATTTTGAAAGAAAATGCAAGATCCCATTCTAACGAGCACAGAAACTGGCAAGGAGACCGTGCTTTTGGAGGCAGTAGTGTTTGCAATTAATTTTAACTCATTTTACAGTTGACTTGCTTCCAAGCTGATGGTTTTGTAATAATTTCATGCAGGCTTCAAACAGAAGCAAGAATTCAGCTGAACTCTTTACAGCTGCAGATGTACTGGCTGCACATAGTGCAACAACCCTTTCAGTTGTTTGACAGTCACTGCCGTATTGCCCAGTTCCTGCCCTGCTAGCCCTAAACATCATGTCGGTAAGAGGTGGCACAGTGCAGTGGCCAACTCTCACTATTTATGTACTGTTGAGTCAGAGGCTACGGAGAATGGCTGAAGTGCCATGTGCAGCCCTTTCCTCCCTGGGGACATCCAGTGGTGCTCTCTTCTCTACACAGCTGTTGGATTTAAGAAAATTCGTAGAACTGGAGTGTCTTTTGAGATCTCTACCACTTTTCAAATTTTGAGGAAATTGCCAACTGATCCAAAAACAAACAAAAAAAAAACACAACAAAAAAAAAACAAAACAAAAAACCATCAGTGGGATATTGATGGCCAAATGTAGACAGAAAGCATTTTCTTGTTAGCCTGTACCTTTAGGTAAACCAGGCTAAAAAGGATACTGTTAAACTCAGAAGGGTTCATAGAAGAGCTGCAGGAAGAATTGAAGATCTGGTAAATGCATCTCACTGTGAGTAAGTATTTTGATTTATGCAAGAAAAACTTCAAAGTGGTGAAACCACAGTATGCATGACACTCAGAGGAGAGTCTTTCTGATTGTATGGTTACTTACCACAGTGATACCCAGTGGTTGGAAGCTAAAGGCTAATCTAGTGGGAAACAAGTAGTAAAACACTTTTTTGAGTCATGATCGTTAATCAGTGAACACTTTCCTAAAGAACATTGTAAGGATATTTTGATCATTGCGAGTCCTTTGTGTTAAGGCTCAATTTCTTTCAAGAAGGGGCTGTGGAGGTGCAGTAGACATTGTGAACTTGTTGCACAACTTGACTAGATGAGAGCTTTCATCACTGTCTTGAAAGAGCCCAGACTATGTGATCCCAATGATCCCTTTTAGTCCCAAAATACAAGCTGAAACTTAATGCAAGTATGAACTGTTTGTGCAGTAACTGAAATTATAAATCTGATGTGGGCTACTAATTATATCTGGTTATACCAGAATGCCTACCTGACCATGCCCTAATTTGCATCTTGTTTTTCCCTAAGATCTAAAGTGACAAGACACTAAAAGCTTTTGTCAAGAGCGCTTACTTTGCATTGTTTTTTATCACTAAGGATCTTAGTGCTGGACAAACAACAGTTTAACCACCACCTGATGAACCAGAGCCGCCTTTGGGTGGGTTATCATAGGTTTTAGCTGAACCTAGGACACGACTGACCTTTCAGGGTAGAAAGTAAGATGGGGCAGTGTGCCAGCGGAAACTGTTCACAGTAAGTGTAACCATTTGCTCCTGGTAGGGTACCAGGTTTACCATTCTGATGTGCTTTCATTGTGCAGGAAATCTCACCCAGTGCTTTATCCTATCCAACTGGTCAAGGTATTTTGTCTTCCATTAAAAGTCTGTGGCTTCTTTTTCAGGCACCTTCAGGGTATTGCTCTGACGACTCAGTAGTAGGCCGTCACTCAGAAAAGTCTAAATCATTTAATGTTTGGGGTTGTTTCTTTGCTTGGTTGTTTTTTGTTGTTATTATTTTGTGTGTGTGGTTTTGGTTTTTGTTTTGTTTTGTTTCCTGAAACACTAGTTATAAGATGGTATGTCTATACGTTTTTTTTTTGAGGAGAAAGCATCAGGCAGTATCATTCCAGGTGGGTATTGTCCTCAATAACATCTTAAAAATTGTGGACAGTCTTAGGAGTCTGGCGCTTTACAGTTGCGGTGTTGCAGAGGCTGATGCTTTATTAAGAAGGCTTCACTGCTAATGGAGGGTTTTGTCTGCAGGACTGTGTTTCTTTGGTGTTGCTACAGAATGGCCCTAAAATATCCTTCCTGCAATTTTGGTATTATATTCAGTGTTACCCTCTAGGCACAGAACACTGTAGCATGTCTGCAGGAGAGATGGTCCCTTTCTCTTCTGAAAGTTGCAAGGGCGAGGCTATAGCAGGAGCTAAGGGCACCAACACTCATGACAGTATGCCCAGTGCTGATAAGAAGAGGGGACAGCAATGGATGAATGTGAGTGTTACACTAGCTCTGAAAAGCTGCATGTGTATTGCCTTACATGTGGGATGTTTCATAACCACCTCAGTGATGTTAGCATTATCAAGTGTCACAGTGAAGTAAGTGGCCTTGTAGGACCAGAGGAACGATTCAAAGTAGACAAGTTGCCATCCCATGATAGGTGTTTTTTAAATGAATGGTTTATGAATCCTATTTGTTCTCTCCTCTTACCAAATTAGAGACATTGAAGAGGATTTTTCAGTTAATTTAATCTGAAAATGTATTACAAAATGTGCTTTTTGATGCCTATGATGCTTGTGCTTCCCGGAGTGACTAGCTCTATCCGCATTTGTGTAAGAAGACTTGGGTAAATAAAACTTAACAAGCCTGATCTATATGTTGCTGTTTGGATAACTAAATAAGACTCTGTAGTTCTGCTTCCTGCCTTTCACCAACTTGGTATATCTGAATGATGATTTGGATTGAAAATTTCTGTACTTTGTTTATTAATAGAATGTAGTTTTTGAGGATATAATGCCTTGATTTTATTGTTAAGTACCTGATACTGTGTGATTTTTATTTTTTTTAGTTCCCCTGCTTGATTACTGCATTGTCTGTAATCACAGTGAGATACACTAACATCTTTTTAGATATGTAAGTCTAGACAGCATCAAATTATTAATATTATTTCTTGAAATCTAGTTGGAGAGCATTTTCATGTTAAGTGTGACAGAATTTGTATGACCTTAGCCCAGTTCTCTTATCAGATGAATTCAATGCATCAGCATTACTTTGGGGACTTGGTTGGCAACTTAACTGCCATCAGGTTTCAGTAGTGGTGATGAATCAGCTTAATTTAAATTCCTTAATGAAAGTATTGCATGTGTAGGAAAGATCACTGCTGCTCTTTAATAATAGGTGGTGTTAATCAAGATCCCAGATAGTCTGATTATTCACATAAATGTAATCAAATGTTGTTTTGAGTTGTTTCAAGTTGTGCTTTTAAAGCATCAGAAGTTCTGCTTACCTCAGGTGTGCCAAGGCATGCCTAATACAGACGGCTGTAGCCTCCATGTAGTGTTTCAAGGCACCTTTGATTGTTTTCTAGGTCCACAAATAATTACTACTTTTCTTTTTAAACTGTGAGCTATTTTCTTCATGTTTTGTTTGTTTCTTTGTTTTTAATCTAGAAAGGTGTATTTGCTACTATAATACATCTAATTAAATATATGATGTGAGAATCTATGTGAAAGAGTCTTCAAGGTTTTATTCAGCAGAGAAATCATTGTACTTGGACTGGGTAGGGATGAGAAGAAGCTGACTGGGTTTTCATCCCATCGGTGCCACAGCTCTCATTAAACCACCTCATTTCCTTGCCTTCCCTTCCAATGTGCACCCCATCACCTAAAAGTTCTTGAGATTTGATCCAGACTCTCAGCTGATGCATTCTCTCAGCTCAAGAGTTCTGTGTTATTGTGCCATGTGATTCAAGTGTGTTGTAGCGTTAGATTTAGATGCTTTCCTTCAACCCGCTGTACTTCATGCTCTCCCAGTTGTTAGTCTATCTTTTCAGGTCATTTAGCAGTGTGTCCAAATTTTTATTTCAAATACTACCATCTGTGGCCAACCTGGGGTAGTAGTTTGGCTTGGCTATACTCAGCACTTTGGAGGAAACCCTTACTCACCAGATATGCAGGAAA